CACGCATACTCTTTGCAGGATTTTTTGGAATTTTTTCCACATCTGTAAACAAAATTCTTTTAGACGCACAAATAAAAGAATATAACACAAAAATAACAACACGACAAAATACATACGACGAAGAACATAACAATGTAGACATAACGCCAACGGCACCACAATTACCACCCTTACCAAATAACCATCCACTATCCCTAGTCCCACGAAATTTTCGAAATTTAGCCATCACACATAACCCAAATTTTCGACTCACCACATCACAAAGTCCCATTCAACATATAATGACACACCAGCCACAAGATGATAATACTTATGAACAAATTATTGAACAACCCCATACCACCGCTTTTCAGTCTCAAAATAATCATTTTTTTAGCCCACGATGAGCCGCCAACTTGGATCACTACACCGATCAAATTCCCACCCAACCAATCTTACCTCTCCAATCCCAATAATACCACTTTTTGCTTTTCCGCCACCCGACTTTCCATCTAGTAATGTAACATCAGGCATGAATTCCGATACTAATTCACACATCTCAGTTTTATATTCCATCTCACAACTCAATAACCCGAATATTGAAACCCCCGATGAATTTGCCGACTCAGAACCATCCCCATCCAATAATTTTCATAACTCTTCTAATTTTTCTCAACCCCCTTTTCAACCCATATTATCCAATAACCCTGACCCAATCACTCCCACACCCTCTTATGCTTCCCAAGTTACCCCAACCTATTCCTCATACCATTCTGACCAATCATCTCATTCTCCAGACACCCCCCGAATCTCCCCAGAGCTAGATAATTTTATTACCCTCCAACAACAACCCTACCACCTTAACACCCCGACCATAAACCAAATCTCCTCCACTACAAATTCATCCAATCCCCCTACACCCTCTTCAAATTATACTGAATCATTAACACCATCATCCACATCCACTATATCTTCACTAAACACTAACAGAGCTTACCGCACTTTTAAAAGAAAATTCCCCAACCATCCTTTCCCAGCAAAACCAGGAACAGCCCGTGAATACATCAACCACCCCCAGCATACTAACACTAAAGAATTTTTAGCTATCACTTTACCCTCGTTTCCACAATACACCTTAAACACCCCTCACGACGCTAACGAAACACGCAACTTTGTAGATGAATACGTTTTAATGCCCACTCTCTCTTGGACCTCATACTATCATTTCACTAACCCTCTTTGCTTACCTTTATCCAACACTTCCATCGATATAGAACGAAACAAAGACATGCTATATCGACTAACTACACCACTAACCGCTAGACAGTTTACTTACGTTGGATATAAAAAAATCACTAAAAATACACACTGCACCTAGAGCTAATGAATATACACTAGAATACTACGATCACAACATCATCAGAGCTAACCAAGATCAATTCTTAGACGACGATCGCTTCGCTAATCCACAAATCACCGAGAAATTTTTCATCAAGACACCATATGTATTTACACTAAACATCTTCGACCGAAAGTTTGATCACATTATTTCAGAAGCACTAACAAACACACAAGCATACGAAAGTTTTAAAGAACGCTTCCAAATATTTTCACTAACCTTTCATTTCCTTGCACCACACGAAAGAGATTTACACTGCTCACACGATATTATGTTGCGCACTAAACAAACCCACACATATAGTTATTATCGCTTCATCCAAAATCACTTTGACCTCCACACACCCTCTAGACAACCACACCATCGTTTTCAATTCATCAATTCAAAATACACTTCACCGTATTTCCTAAATTTCACATATTGTCTTAAAAACACTAACCTCCATGGTATTCTTCGTAATTATGACCCCATAACCCAAATGTACATTTTCTGCCCCATCACCAAGACCTTCAACGCCGAAGAATCCCGCCCTTCCTTATCCCGCACGAGTTTGTACAGCCTATAGAAATCCCAATTTTAGAATTCATCCACAACACTAAATTTAACCACAAATTATATAACTTAATCCAAAACACACCTTATGAGTTTGCAGTAGGCACTGAAGAACTAACCACTATTAAGGCACTTCAATTGCTTTGGCCACTGCTTCAGACTAAAAATATCATCCGCATTCTAGCTAAACTACTAACAACTTCAGAACTAATTCACGACATCTTCCCCCACGGTTTTTTCCCCGACGACTAACAGGTAAGTATGAATTACATAAATATAACTAACTAATTGAAATATTAAAAACTCACCATTCTCTATCCATGTTTTCTTTAGATTTTTAGCCTTCATCCTAGATCATCTGAAAAATTCACAAAAGAAAAATAAAAAATAGCAAACTTCTTCAAAACTGTTTAAGACCCTATTAAACTTTTGCACCAACAATTAAATAAATATAATACCAATGCAGTAAATTAATTTCTAAAATTTTCCCCACAAGCAGTAAATTTAATTATGATGAAAATTTGTAACTTAAAATTCCCCCATAACTAGCAGTAAATTTCTAAATTCTATGCAATAAATTAATAAAATGCAATTGCAGTACTAACCTTTTGATATTTTCATTCATTCGCGCAGAAATTCTATCCACACTCGCACAGCTCGCCCACGAAGAATTGTTTAAAATAATGAATTTCAGTTTCAAGTTTTCACACTCAACAACTCTAACACACGATAACAAGTTTCAATCTTTCCTTTAACCCGGTTGGAAAGGAATCATATACTAAACAAAACTAACCAACGCAGCTTACTAAATACCACAAATCATAGAATAACAGCATGACTAAGAAAAGGAAACCAACGGTACCCAAACCGGATTAACCCAGTTTAAAACTGGATAATTTATTCTTTTGAAGACTATTATAAAGTCTAAGAAAGAAATAATAAAACACAAAAAAGTCGAAAGACAAACCCATACCACAAACAATTTGATTTTTGAAAAAAGGACACAACCAACGAAACATAAGAAAAACCACAACAAACCCAACATAAAACGTTGTCACATAACAGGACCCCTCACAAAAACCGCATGAAATCATACTCCCACTCCTGGCCTAACCCACCAGGAAGGACGTCCTGAGCATGCTCTATAGCCGGCCTAACCCACCGCGCTACATCCACGCTTTGTGACCACACCTTTATTTTTAATAAGAGCTACTCAAGGGTGAGTAACTCTTCAAAATAACCGAACTAAAACAAAAAGCTTTTGTGAAAACAACTAACTAAAATCATTATTAAAAAATATTAAACTAATAAAAGTTTTATAAAATGTAAAATCACATGATGCAATATATAGATCAGAATACAACACCAAGGACGAACATCAAAAGACAAGACGACCTCACTACACTCGAGAGAGAATGACCAACTACAATCGATATGCCACTCACAATCACAACTCAAAGGATTTAGAGTACGACTTGACTTCGCAGAAAAGGACTTCATTGAACTAGACCAATGACCACCTCGATGTTCAAGTATACGTGCAGATCCGAGTAACCAGGCATCCCCTCCACGCACAATCTCCACGCCATTCCCAAGCTAGATCAGACACAAAAGAAGTTCTCCCCGAAGAACAGAAAAACCTGACATAGCCAACCATTCTGAAATCAGAATTGATTTTGTTGCAGAGACTCAGTCGTTGTCACAAGAAGAAGCGGAAGAAAATTATGATGTTCGCCAAATACCAACGTCCATCATCCACCCTTGAATTACAGAAGAACTGTTCTAAAAAACTCTGTAAAACCCGGATGGGTGGAACCTGATCTAAACTATATTTTATGATTGGATAAATTAAATGTTTTACCAATGTAAAGTATTTAATATTAACCAATCATGATCCACCTAACTAACAACCCACTTATTTGTAAGTGCTGAAGTTACTTGTAATTTCAGCACCAGAGAGATTTGAATTTAACTTAGAAATTAGTTGGACTCTCCCGAGCACTTCAGCAGCCGCAATAAACCAGTATACCCTAGATCTATTGAGCCTAGCAGAGACTAGTTAAACAACCTGAGACTAGATAGTATAAGAGTAAGATTAGGATCGGTATTAGACTAAGAAGTTGCACGAATCTATCCGGCCGAAAATAAGATAGCGTGACGAGCAGACGGTGTACCCTATCCGAAATTACTCTATGAGTTATACACTCCAGTTCTAACTCAGTAGAAATTTACAAAAAACAAGTCAGTTTTTTTGGTTTTCTTGTGTTCGTTAATTTTTTACAGCTGTCAGTTGGCTATGTTTTCTTTTGAAAAAAGCGCCAATTATGAAGTGTTCTTGAAATTGAAAAAGCTTCAATGGCTTATATTTTTCTAAAAATTCAATTTGAAGTTTTTTCAAAAAAAAAACAAGTTAGTTTTTTTGTTTCTTTGCGTTCATTACTCTTTTCCAACTGTCAGTGGGCTATGTTTTGAACACAGTTTTTGTCGATTATGTCTAATTCTTTATTTTTCTACCCGTTAGGTATAGTTCTCTCGTCAACACCATGCACTAAAATTGACGCTAGTTTGAAGAAAACATAAACAACTTTTTAAAACTTTTTTTGTTATTTTTGTTGTGTTGAATGTGGTCGGATCATTCTGTGTTACTTGTTCAGCATTTGGCTATTCTTGTTTTATATTTTATTTGCATGACATGACATTTCGTCGATTTTCATTGACCATTTCTCATACGGTTTTGCAAAATCGAATTTGACTTGACCTGTAATGAAGCATTATAGCGTGGATAGCGAAGTGTGCAGGTGTTTACTAGTATGCGAAATAAAAGTTTTGACTATTGATCCAGTTTTCTCAAATTTGGTTAAATTTATCAAAAAATTTCACTTATTAATGGGTCTCGAAATTCAAAAAGCTTAAAGGTCATATGACTTTGAAATTCGAATGTATATATCTTTTTAAAAAAGTCCGATGTTTATTGACTCTCCATCTGCCTGTTGGCTATGTTTTAGTTTTAAGGTCCGTTAAGGCAGAATATCACTTCGATGAATTGTGCTTTTTCAATTTTTTAATTAAGGTTGAGTTGGCGCTACAAGTGCAGCACATTCTGCCGGAGAGATTCAGGAAGAGATTCATCGTTAGACAGGAGACCATCTTCCCCAACAAAACTAACAGGGCACTCGGGTTTTTCGATCGCCTCTTCGGATCAGGAATGCTTGATGGAGCAGCCATTATGAAGAGTCTCACCATCAACCAGGTACTCACTCATCATACATTAATCCGTCTAAATAGGGCATTTTGGATTGCACAAATATGAGCACACTATATCAAATAGGGTTTTGAAATATAAGATTTTACAGTTCTATTTGAGCCTGTTCAAGATTTATCTACCTTGTTTTGCTGAATATTTACCATTTCTGTAGAATATATTAAGAGTTTACATGTAACATGCTCTGCTTGGTTGGGCTGGGAATCAAGTCCCGGAGTGAGATTGGGTGTATTGAAATTGCATTTTCAAAGGTTCAAAGGTTGTTCATTAAATAAGTCAAAGGTTGTTCATTAAATATCAATGGACGTTGTGCTCAAGAATGAAAGGTTTAAATTACTCGTAGATCCTGCTCAAATTAAGTGCAATGTTGCGTAACTGTCTTTTTCGGGGCTATATCGATTAATGCCTGCTTGCAGCAAGAATCAATCAGATGAAATTTACCTTCTCGCTGCATTGAAATACTCAAACAAAATGGTCTTTGCATTAGTGGGAATCTAAACAAATACATGTAATTCACCAATGGGAGCAGAATACCATGTATAGGCCAGATAAATGTGAAAATAAATTTGAAAAAAATTGGGCCTCTATGAAACTAATAAGCGAATGGTTCTGTTCAAATTAACATTTCTGTTTTCTAACATGTTCTAAATTGCTGCACTTTTAGCCTGTTACTGTTAACATGAGTTGCGTTTTCAGAATGCTGATCATCCGGTCACTAGTAGACAGGTTATTATCATGTTTCAAAATCATCATGTACTGTGCTTGCTTTTTATGAAAGTCAAGTCCGTAAATAATTTTTGTCAATCACGTCAGTGAATTCTATTTGTCACGTCTTTCCAAATTGTCACTATTTTGAACAGCACAAGTGTACAAAAAAGCAGACTTATTGTAAACGAGCTTCAGATATAAGCCAGCCCAAGTTATCTCATTCGTCGAAACTATTTTCTGATAGCGTTACTGATGAGCTAGTTGAAGTATTAAGCGCCTGCTTATTATTTGAAAGGTGCTGGGTTATACCTCGTTCGTTTGCACTACTTTTTTGCACGTAATAAGGTGAAGGTGATGGGATTGAAATTGTTTGAAGGTTTTTGAAGTTTTATTCAGTGATATCCAATAAAACGATTTCAAATTATTAAAAAGCGGCTAGTAAACATTATTAAACAAACCAGACAAAACTGAACTAATTGAGAAAATCAAAAAGAATAAAGGCCAAAATTTTTTAATGGACCAAGTGTTGAGGGAAACATAAAATACTAATTTGTTTTTGAGACTAAGGTATAATAAATATCTAAAATCTGCAAAGAATAGGCTGGGTAGCTGCTTTAAGTTTGTAAACATTATTTTAAAACAATCATATTAATTTTATAAAATGCTTATCGTTTAAAAAAACTAGCATTTCACAGATCTCAAGTGGGCGCGGGTTTTCAGATACGCTTTAGTGATCTCAATTTCAAAAATCATGTTAAGAGTCGATGAACGTAGTTCAGACTGTTATATAGGTTTTTTTTCTGTTTACTTGCGTTCATCGACTCTTTTTCAACTGTCTGTTGGTTATGTTTTTATCACTTTCGTTGCGTGGTTTCTCAGATGTTTCACCAGGATCACCAAGTTCAAGTTTTCAGGAGTCAATGAACGTAGTAAAGACTATTTTTATATGGCTTGATGGTTTTTTCTTTTTTTTTTTCAGGAAAAAGTCTGTTTTTTTTCACGCACAAATTTGCTTTTTTTTTGCGGTTCGACCGTTCATTTTTTATTCAAGTTCAGTTCATTTCCTTTGTTAAAAGGAAGGCGAACTCAACTATCGAACAGCAAAAGTGTAAAGGTCACGAAAAACGTGGCCGACTTCTAGTTTCGAAAGTGGATTTAAATTATCAGATTTCCGAGCGAAGTAAAAAAAAATTAACCTATAGATATCCAGTTTTCTCAAATTGGGTTAATTTAATCAAAAAGTATTAATCATAAATTAATTTGGAAAGTTCAAAGCTATAAGGTCATATATTTTTCTTCGAAATTCTTATTTCTTTGCTTGCGTTCATGACTTTTCCAACTGTCTGTTGGCTATATTTTTAACTTCTCAAAGAAAATTGAGCATATGATGATCGGTATTGATTCAAAATTGTCTGCAAATTGACTCAAATTAAACGTTCACAAACATTCACCGAATAACCCGATCATTTAAGCTACCGTGAGTCTTCGAAATATATATTTTTTGTAGGTGACGATGGTAAATCTTTTTGATGATTGATTTCAATTTCTGATTGTAAATTATCCATGCTTGATATCTAGGTTGATTGATCCATGATATCTAAATTCCTTGTAGATGAAGTAAAGATCTTACTGTAAGTGTTTGTTTGAGGAACCCCTGGATGCGATGAAGTCGAGACAGGAGACGATGATTCATCAGCTGAAGTCGATGGAAAATGTGATGCTTGAGATGCAGAAGGCACAACAGGTAATGCAGCAGAATATCAGCAGAATCGCAGTCAAACAGGGCGTAGAATTGAATGAAGACGACTACGTGGGAGAAGTGGATGATGATGAAGATTGAAGATACGTTTATAAATAATTGTTCACCAACTAAATCGAACAAATAGTCTCAATAATCATGATAAAATATCACTGCAAAGAAATTTGAACTCGGGAAATATAATTGGACCAAAGAAAAAGAAGCAATGATTTGACTGAAGGAAAATCTAAAGAACGCTAAGAACTGTTAACAGGGTTACAGAGGGAATATCAGAAGTTAAAATCAAAACACCTTATTAATAAATAACTTGTGATAATATGCTTATTTGCACATTCATATCTAGGAGGAGTAACATTAAAGACGAAGAAAACAGGTGGAATATCTTTCTTTTCAGTTTTCTAGACGCCAAAATAATGCACATTCGACTGTTTAATTCAATGCACAGCTTGGTAAAATTTTTTATATCGTTAGTATCTTGAACTAACTTGACTGTTGTAATCTAGAATTGTTATCTTTGTTTCTGCAATTTCAAGCTATGATTTATGTTTTTTTAGTATCAAAATGAAAAAATTTTAATTGTGTATAGATTTCTCAATCATTCAAAATTGTGGTAAAAATAGTTGGTGAAAATAGTTTTCAATTCCGGATGCCTTAATTAAAATTGCTCAATTGGATTTTCAAACGAGTATTAGATGTAGTGTTTACAACATCAGTGTGAATAAACCGAAAGCTTATGTCAGTGTATAAGCCAGTCGAAAATTAGGTTGTAGCTTTCCTAAATTATGAAAAATGAAATATATTTCATTAAAATATGATCGATATTTCTAAGAAAGGCAAGATATTTAAATGGGACAGGCAAAACTGAAGCATTTTAATCTAATTTGGCCTCAAACGGAAGCTGTCTAGTTTTTCCGTTCTTATTAATTTCACAAATACGAGACAAATGCGTTTTTAATTGTTGTTGGATTCACATTTTATATCTTTTTATAATGATGCAAGCAGGGGAGGATCTAGGATTTTCTTGAAGAAAAATCGAAAATTTTGTCAACCATTTTTAAAGTCGACCAAATTGCTCTCCCAAAACACTTAAACAGACCCTGTTGTTGCCAAATTTTTGTTTGGGAAAACTTTATAAGGAGTTTTCTTTTTGACCACATTGTTACAACCACGCAATGGAAAAAGCTTTGTATTTGGGTGTTCATTTTCTAGTGTCAATGAACAAAATGAAGACACTAAGTTAGTGTGTGTTTAAGAATAATAAACGTAGTGAGTTATCTTATATAGGTCTTGCTGATTTTTTAAAAATTTTTCCAGGAAAAAGTCTTAAAATTTGTTCACGCTCAATTTTGATTTTTAGTGGTTTGATTTGTGATATCTTTTTAAGCTCAGTGCATTTCTATTTTTGAAAGCTCAAATTGTTAAGCGCTCTAATTTGATGTTTTTGCGGTTTGACTACGCTTGCAATCGAACTGAAACTGATTCACCTCCTGTTTTAACTTGAAATTGTCCGTAGTTTTGTTGCTTGAACAGTTTGATCAGAACAACAACTTGTTTTTTGCACGCCGATTGATTATTGGGAGAAACATGCTTGCGAGTAGACTTTTTTCCGGGTTAACAACTTTTTAATAGAATCAATTGGTATCTTCATTCATAATGATTTCAAATTTCTTAGAGTCTAAGCGTCAAGTCTGGAGGTAACGAATGCGCCTGGGACGCCAAAGGTGCTGGGTTCAAATCTGACGGTCTGTTTTTTTTCTAACGGAAAATAGTCCGTTTCGAAAAAAGAAATTGTCGGCTTATTATTGTCTTCTTATTCTTTGTTTCTTTTTCAGCTTAAATGCTATTGTAGAATTGTTTTTCATAAATTTTAGTACATTATAGTTGCTTTTAGTGTTTTAATTTACCTCTGCTATTAGTAATTTTACTGAACTTGACATTTTCTATTTTTGTTCCATTTAAAAATTGTATTCTGCTCCCATGATTTCGGCCTTTTTTTTCTATCAGCTTAGTGACCGATTTTTGAGTCATTACAACGGAAACATATATTTTTTGCTCACCTCTGAATCGCACAAAACGCTAAAAGTCTTAATAGAAATATAGTTTAATTGTTCACATTTTTTTTCCGGTATCGTTTTTTCTTTTTTTTTCCGGCTTGATACGTTTCGGCCTGTGTTATATCGGCTTATTGGCTTCATTTTGCGTCTTTTGACGAGCGAATTTTTTTTTGGTGCGTGTCTGTCTTTTGAGGGCGAGGGGCTTAACAACTTCTTATTGATTCTAAATTTTTTTGAGTTTTATTTCGGCTTTTTTAGTTTCCTTTGTTCGGGCTTTATAGTTTTCGGTCTGTATTATATCCGCTCAGTGGCCTCATATTGTTTAATTTGACCAGCAAATAAAGTTTTCTTAGTGCTTGTGTTTTTAGGGGTGGGGCGGACTGAATAACTTTTCAGAAGGGGGGTTTTCCGGCGAGGGGGCTTTTTAAATTTTAAACCTTGTTGATTTTTTTGTCTTAGGGAGTTTCTGACTAGATATTTTTGGCTTTGTTACCGCTGGGTACATAATCGTCCGAAGCTTATGTCAAAATCTATTGCGTTGGCATGTTTTTGTTTCAAAACTAGCTTTATTCATTTTGATAGATTCAGTTTTTTTTTACCTTTTCATTTTCTAATTTTTTTTCTGGTTTTGTATTGCAAGTGGTGCGAAGCGCAGCTTCGCCTCTGAGCTTCAAGTTCAATTTAAAGTTCTTCGCCTGATGGAACGAAGAGAAAGCTCTGCTGTACGAAAAAACAAATTGCGCATTAAAAAAAAACAAGAATTCATTTAGATTTCTCAAATGGACTTTAATGTTTAGATTTTCCAGGTTTTCTCTGATTGGGATAATTGAATGAAACAGAACTCAATGAATTTTTCTTGAAGTTCAAACAGATTAGCGGTGATAATTTTGAATAATGAAAACCTTTCAATTGAAATTTGACGCTTCCAGTTTTTGCTGGCTGTAGTGTATTTTGGGGATTATAGTTTCGAGCTGTCTTTATTTCTGTTTGGCATTCATTTGCTGAATTGAAGGAAAAAATTACAAATGGTCTAGTTTTAAAATAAAATTGAAGGTTTTACTGAAATTTTTTATTAAAAGGTTTTTTTTTCAGTAAATTTGAACGTGATTTTTTTTTTTCCTGGAACCACCAGGATTCTTCACACCAGATTCCTGGAAAACTCAAGATTTCTTGTGCGCTTTGTCTATCGGTTTTCAGCTCATTTCAATTTCATTTGTTGACTGGAAAGATCATACCGTTTTTCAATAACTAAATGCGAATGGCGCAGGAAAAAGGTAATACTTTGTTGTTTTGAAGTGGACTTTGTTTTGCAGATCTTCCAGTGAAATAAAAATTTACCTGCTCCGTTAATTGTTGTTCCGACCATTAAAAATAGGGAGGAATTTTGTGTTGGGGCGTTTTAGTTTTTTTGTTTTCCACTTAAAATCAGGTACCACAAAAAAATCATCGAACTGGGTGGAATGATATATCATAATAAAACCCTTTCAAACCACAATAATAAATTTTTCTAATTTCGAGAAAAACCGTTATGAATTTTAATTTTTGTTGAAGTTTGAGCGTCGAAAGCCATCGAGCAGGCTTATTTAAGCTTAATTAGGCCGTTTACAAAAACTTAATTATGTTTCTTTGCAATTTTACTTGACAAAATTCGCTTTTGGCGATTTTTGATGCCATTTTAATAATCATAAAATTTCTGCAACAAAAAATTGAAAAAAAAATGTGCATTTTTTTCCGGTCATTTTTTGCAAAAACTGTTCTTCGGTTTGCCTATTTTACTATGACGGTCAAATATGCCTATTATTTTATTTCATGTCAGATCTTTTTTATCACGCCACGCAGAAAAAGCTACACTAATATGAAAAAAAAATGATTAAATTTTTTAAGACTATGGTTGGAACATTGTGCTACTTGCCCAGCAACCGGCTATCCTTGTTTTTAATTTGGTTAGTTTTTTCTGAAAAACTATTCAAACAAACGATTATATCAAATGATAAAGCTTGGCTGGACAGGAGAAAATTATTTTACACCAACAAATTTTTTGAGTCCAATTTTTTTTTGTAACTCATTTGGAAGATAAATACCCCTAACATGTGAATCAATTAAACAGCTAATTTTCAGTTTCTCTATCTTGTATTATTTCTTGAGCTCTTAATTGAGAGAAAGTTTTTTTAGATGAAATGAATTTGCCCAAGCGGCTGACAAGTGTAAGAGAAGTTTCTTTAAATTTTTCCTACATTTGACGGCAACGCTTGTTAAATACCAAAAGTCAGCAAAGTGTCAATTTTACTCATTTTCACAGCATTTTTTTCAGCTCAATTTTTCTCAGAAACTGAGTTTCATCAATTAAGCTGGAAGCAACTACAGTATTATTCTGTTGGGTTTCTTTTAAACATTCGTTTACACATAAGTTGACTGAGTGAATCCGGTTCACTCACAGAAGAACAATGGGCTGCAAGCTATTGCTGGATTTGATCGGGGAGCGGAATTGAACACCTAATGATATTTAAGTTTATTTCGATTACCCGCAGCAACCGTAGTTATCTGGACAGTTTCATTGACATCCACCCATTAAGATTGAAGAACTTCTGTTGAACGTCTTCGAATTGCCAAAAAAATAGGAAAAAGAGCCCAATACACTCAATTTACTGCAGCCAAAAGTGGAAAAAAATCCAAAAATACTTTTCTGATGCTAAAAGATTTTGAGTCAAACTGGTTATGAAAGGTTAGCTGTCGCTTCAATTTTTGTCTCGCAAACTTTAACGCTCTTGATTTAAGCTTTTAACAGAATTTTTTTGTTGTTTGCAAGATATCAATTCTGTGATATCTGAATGTAAAATTTGTCATTGTTCCGACCATTGAAATTGGCGAGGAAATTTGCATTCGTGTGTGCTCTAGTTTTTTATTGTTTTGTACGCAAAATCAGGTACCACAAAAAATCATTAGAGTGACTCGAGTGATATATCTTGTTGAAGCCCTTTTCAAGAACTTGTCTAGGTTCACACCTTGATATATGAGTATTTCCAGAATTCGAACGGATTGGTAACCTAACTCAAGATAAGCTCCAGGATGATCAGAAAACAAATGAATGTTAATGTGTATTCTCTAGCTCTGAGAATTCATGCTCTCTCACTTTTTAGCCATTTCAGTCAAGGCCATCCGACGAGTTATAATAATCTAATATATATACATAGATTTGCATCAAAAGTTTGTGCCAATCCGCCTGGGTGACAGTCCTGTCTTTAAAATATTTGAGTTTTTGAGTCCTTGAAGAACTATAAGTGAGTTTATAACGTCCCGGTGGGACGAGAGTTTCAGAACCCCGTTTCCGATCTAAGCAAGCTTGTTTGGCTTTTTCTTGATTCAGGATTTTTGCTGAACTATTCGTTGCTATGATTGACAAAGGTTTGTTTGATTTTTTCCCATGTGGGTTCCGAATGGGGATATTTTTGTAATTCCGCACGGAGTAACTCTCAAAGTTTTGAAGAATTCAGCTACGTCTGACGCTAGTTTAAATGGTGTGGAAGTTTTGTCTATACGCAGTACTATTAGCGTACAATTATTTAATGTTTGTATCATGTGTTCAACTATGCCTTTATATCTGTGGTCGTCTACGGGTGT